CTCTCTCTCTCTCTCTCTCTCTCTCTCTCTCTCTCTCTTGTGTGTGTGTGTGTTTGAATGTCTTCCTTGCTCCCTGCTATCCTAGCTAGCTATGGCAACCAGCGTCTTCAACTACCACTATGCTCAGCCTCACTTCAGCCCCGCTTGTTACATGGTTGCAGAAGATGGCAGCAGCGCTTCCACAACCAGTACGGGAAGAACAGCTGTTGATGCTCACAGCTACTGTGCTTTCGCATTTGACGATTTAGTTACTCTTCCTCAAACCCGCTACCTATTGGCTGTGGTCCGGCCCTTGACGCATCCAGAATGGTCACTAACTCTGAGCTGCTGACTGGGCCGGGCTGGACTGACTGTACTGGACTCGAGGGGCCGGACTCACTATATGAGTCACTAAGCTACTGGGCCTACCGGACTAGACCTACCTAGTATCTACCTAATATCAGTCGGAAGTTTTGGTATGGGACTGGGACAGGATGCTGATATTCGTGAAACCTTTCACTCCCGCCAGCGCTCCTGTGCGATTGTTCATAATGTGAAACTATCTCGGGATAGGTCTCTGTCAGTTTCAGCCTTGTTAACCATCTGTGATCTTTGGGTTGCGGTTGCCTTCATCTCCTTGATCTGTACATATTCTGTTCAAGTATATGGTCTATGTTGTGCCTGACATCCATATCAGGTTGAATCATCGATCTGCTTACCTGTGGCCGTGACTTTGGGGGTTGCAGCGGGGGAAACACTCAAGGAGCGGGAGTAGGCCCGCGACACTTAGAGCAGCGGGGAAAAACACTCAAGTATCAGGTAGGCCGGTACCACCCAAAGTAGTGGTAGATGTGTCGGGGACTGGAGGCTGGGCAGAAGAAGACAAAATTGGCATTTTTAGAGGCCCAGTAGCGGTAGGCTAGGTCTAGGCGGGTACCAGTCCAAGTAGCCTGTAATCTAGGGCCTGTGCGGACGATATCAGAGCCTGCAATGATGTGGCCCTCCGAAAGGGAGGAGGTACCAGTTGCTTGGAGTCTGCGCGGCCTGGAAGTCACCGCCCAAGGAGGCTGCTGCCTCACTATATCTCCAGGGAGAGCCAGGAGCTCTTCCTCATTTGCTGCGTGCAAGTTTGGACATCACGCTGCTGGAGCACTGGTTGGAGCGCTGCTGAGTCCAGCGCTGGGGAGAAGAGCGCCCAGCTGTTCACCTTGGCTATCGTGGAGGAGCTCGGGTAGAAGGAGGAGGAAGAAGGGACTAGGAGAGGGGAGCGCCAGGGGTACTTACCTGGCTGGTGGATGCCATTTTCATCACCTTGGTGGGCGCTGCATCTGGAAGGCCCCGTTGGGGTAGACCAGAGTCAGGCATGACGGCCTGCGTGGAAGTCGCCATAGCTGCTTTGCGTTGTCTTTTGCACATCATGGCAAGGCCCTAGTAGTCCGCCATAGCCTCGCCCTAGATGAAGAGGAAGGAGAAGGGCAGCCGTGGCTATGGTGGACCTCAAGTTGTGCTGGCAGTAGAAGAGAGGTTCGGACATTGATTCTGGTTCTGCCATTCATCATTATTAATATTATTTAATATTTATTGTTTGAATAAGAGGGGAGGAGAAAAGACGTAGTAGTTTGGTTGGAAAGAAGAAGGGGGATTATCATTGGTCTTTGATGGTGTCTTCTTCTTCTTTCCCTCTCTCTCCTCTCAAGCGCATTCATTTCTTTTGCAATTGGACGGCATTGTGCTTTCTTGTGAATTTTGCGCTTTGAAATTGGCCAGGATCCTAATAGGGAGGTATATCAGTAATATAGCGGGCATCATCAGCATCTTGTACTACATCGGATGATCGGACACTTCCTATGGTCCTCGGTATGCTGGTAGCCTGGTAGCATTCTCTGAGGACTCCCCTCTTCTGGTGCAAGTTCCTTAGACTTAACCCATACTAAGTCGCCGGCAACCTACCGTGATGGTCTTCTATGCTAATTTGCTGGTTCAGTTTTTCTCTCCTGGGCGTGTCTACTAGGCTGCCAGCCGGGCCACCCGGGTCACCCTGTGTTCCCGGGTGGCCCGGCCGTGCAAGTGCCAGGGAAGGTCCCAGCAAAAAAAAATAAAAATCTAAAACATCAGAAAAATAAAACTATGTTATGCAGAAAAATAAACTGAACAACTTTGTCCTTCGGTACATCCGTTAAAATTGGAACAATACAGAGAAGGAAGATTAGCATGGCCCCTGCGCAAGGATGACACGCATAAATCGAGAAATGGTCCAAATTAAAAAAAAAAAAAAAAACTGAACAACTTTTGCCTCAGGGTCACATCGAAATTCCTTACCAATTTTTTTTCTTGGTTTTTTNTTTTTTTTTTTTTTTTTTTTTTTTTTTTTTTTTTTTTTGGTCCGGCCGGGCAAGTGGTTCCGGACCACTCTGGTAGCCTAGCGTGTCTAGTATTTTCAGTCACTTTCTTTCTTAAGGTCTTTCTCATACATCAATGCAAATTTGCATGTTGCGGGTGGTAACCTCTGTATCTGATCGGGATTTGGTCAGTATACTGGTCTATGCAGTTTCCACTCTTTGTGCAATTTGTTGGGGTCCTCCCAGTTGAGAGGTGCACTGAGTTATTACATGCACTAACCACCTTAGGTAGCTCTTTGTCCCAATTAACCTCGTATATACTACATACTATATAGCGTAATATAGCCTAATATACCTACGTCGGGTCTGTTACCATAGCTCGATCATCTGCTCGGTTTGACCGTTTGTCTCCGGATGTCTACCTGATGGCATGGTCACCTGCGAACCATGTATGTATTTTCATGAACTGCTGCCATCGCTCACCCTTAAATCTAACATCCCTATCACTAACTATTGGTCAGAGGAGGACCGCTTGTCGTTGACCCGATGTGCGAAGAACTCTGCTCACCCTTAAACCGTCAGTACACGTCCGCAGCCTTGCTGAAAATGTTCCGTCGCCTACTCGGAAAAAGTCGGCACCAGCACGCCGCCGACAACATGAATTAGCAGTTGGCGTCGTATTTCGGCCTCTAACAGGGGCCCGCGGCTGATGCAAGGCATGTACTGGTGGTTTAAACCTAACATCTCTATCACACACACTATGGCCAGAGGATGACCGCTTGTCTTCGACCCCATGTGCGAAGAACTCACGAGTGATAGGCACAGTCTTTGCTTTGGGGGGTAATGGGGATAAAGTTAAACCCTGCGTGTTTGCTGAACCTGTCAATTACCACCATGACATGAGTATTCCCTACCCTCCTCCCCGCACCTCTACCCCCCCTCTCCCCACCCTCTCCGCCCCTCTCTCCCCCGCCTTTCCTAATCTTCACCTTTGTATCCATGAAGTTTATAGCTATTGATTCTCCTGGTCCACAGGGAATGGGAAGTCTTTCGAGGAGTAGCCCTGAGCGTAACAATGTATAGAACGCCTGAGAAACGACCTTGCTGCCCTTGCATTATTTAGTATACAGGTTGACGGCCGTAGGTTTAAGGCTTTAAACTTTAAAGTTTATAGAACTTCAGACTTTACAATGATGCTGCTGCTTTTTTTTCTTTTTTTGTTTTCGGAAAAAAAAGGAAAAGAAGGCGACAAAAAAAAGAAAAGAAAGCCCCCTTCTATTCTGCGGCCCAACAATCCGGTTGCTTATCACTGGCAACGCCGGCAAGCAAAAATAAATAATTAAATAAATAAAGAAAGAAAGAAAATTATGCTTTTTTCAGCAAGCGAGTGGGCTCTCATTATTCCTGGCAGCTTGTGCCACCTTAAACCACCAGTACCTCCACGTTTTTAGGCCGTTAACGCGGTGGCCGAATCGGTGCACCGCGCAGGTCCATATGCATTTGCCTCCGAGCCTCCCCAGAGGGGGCCTAAGACCCCCTGGTGTACTGGTGGTTTAACCTTCTGGCAATCTGAGGTCTGGCTATGGTGTCTGCAGGTCCCTGTTATGGAAAATGTTAATGTTGAAAAACTTGAAAACACCTTCTAAGTTCTAAGCAATCTGAGATCTTGCTATGGTGTCTGCTCTGCAGGCCCCTCTCTCGCAGCTACAAATGCTGAGAACGAAGGTGTCATCCTATCGAAGGAGATGGCGCGGAATTCTGCTGAAATGGTTTCCAGCTATGCAGCGGAGGAGAAGGTGAAGGTGCTTGGTCGTGCGGAGGAAACTACAGGCGCCCAATCTGGAAAACAGGTAGAGCATCCACAGCCGTGTTCTCTAACACTGGGGATTTTCAAAGTGGATCCTCCGTGATGTGGAGGATAATGAACGGCGGGCAATCCGTGGTAAGACGGTAGAAGGAACGCGACTTACGCCTGCAAGAAACGAGTTCGGGCATACTTGCACTAGGCCCTCAAAAGAATCTCCAAATTGCAAAATGAGTGGCCAGATAGAGCCCTCTGCTTACAAGCACTTAATCGGGGCGTTCATTTTGCAATTTTGTGATTTTGCGATTTTGCGATTTTGCGATTTTACGATTTTGCGATTTTTAGGGCCTAGTGTGAGTATGCCCTTAGAAGACTTACGCCTGCAAGTTACCATGTCTTGTGTTTTGGATCGTCTGTCTGTCTCTTGTGGAAAACGTGGTGAGGCGGGTAGAAGGAACCAGACTTACGCCTGCAAGGGGAAAACAAAAACAAAAAAAAAAACTTAAAAAAAGAAGGTTAGCAACGTAACAAAACACAAGGGACAGACAGACCATCCAAAAAAAAACATGCTTGATTGGATTTGCCGCCTCATTGCTGATTCATGGCTACCGTACTTTCCGATCTGACGGTGACATTGTGTGAACTGCTTTGGCCAAGCGAGTGACTCCTTCCATAAGCATTGCAATCTCTCTTGTCCAAAGGAGTCACAGGAGAGTGATGATATAATCATATAATACATTTTCTCCTTTTTCGTGTTCGGGGTCGGGGGTGGGGGGAGGGGTGGAAGGGAATTGATGATAAAAAACTTGTTTTTTTTCTTTTGTTGAGGAGAAAACATTGGTGGGGGGGGGGGAAAGGGGCTGAAATAAGAAGAAGAAAAAAAACATTGGTGGGATTTTATAATGGCCAGTGGAAATTATTGTAATGGCTACCTTCTTCACCCGAATAGAACACCCGGTCATCATACCTTTCTCTCGACCGAAAAGAAAATTGCCCCAAATACAGGTATTGCAATCAGACTCGCTTTCATTCACACTTCACATGCATGTAAACAGGTTGCGCAGCAAACTGGCGACAAGCGCCCACTTCAAAACTCAGAGATATGGTGATCGGGAACACAGTTCAGGTACAAGCTCACTTCAGATGGCTATGGCGCATCAGCGCCTACACAACTCTCTGTTCATCACTGTACTCGACTTCCCTGTTCACACACACTCAACGTAGGATCACCCTGGATATCCCACACGCACACACTGTACACACACGCACACACATACACGCCACACCCCCCTAGCAGCTATGGCAGCTATGGCAGCTATGGCCGCTTCTACCTCTACAGCTATGGTGGCTAAGCTCTCTTTCTCGCCCACTTTGTCTTCGGGCTCACTGCAGACCACCTCGCACAAGTCGCTATGGCAGCGCTTCCGAATGGCTTACGCAGGAATGAATGAATGGCTGGGCGCTGCCTCTTGATTTATACTTCTGCAGCTCGTTGGCCTGCCCCTTTCCCATGCCCGTGGTGCACACAGTCCCACAAGGTAGTTGCTTGACTGGACTGAGACTGACTGGGACTGGGTACCGCTGACTCAGCAAGGGTGGACTTCACCACTCGCCCACTTGCCTCAGTCTAAACGTGAGCAGCTTCGAAAGGCCACTACTGGGACCTTCCGGAAGTTTTAGTCCTGGCCTTTCGGATACTGTAGCAGCCACGACCTTGACCCTTCAGGACTGTAGCAGCTACGACCTTGACGCTTCAGGACTGTAGCAGCTACGACCTTGACCCTTCGGAGGAGCTACAGCTACGACTGCTAGAACTCACTAGGACTCCAATCCGACAGGTCTACAGATCGAACCCCTATAACCTACAGACCTACGACGACCTACCAACTGTGGGGAAAGACACAGGTCGTGGGTTCCACTCTTGGGGTCGGCACAGATACTGTACACAGGTAAGGTAAGGACTAGGGATCGAGCCCTGGGATCTGCATCGGCTACTGCAAAGGTGGAATCCGTTTCAGTATAGTGACGGGGCGTTCTTTTCAGGTGAAGATGGTAGTGTGGGAATCTAATAAATAACACACACAAGTAAGTTGAAGTAACAGAGTAAATGTCTGGCCAGCGCCGCTAAACTCCCTTTGTTCTCTCAGCCTCTCAGGTACGTTGTACTTGTCAACGAGACTCTGTTTGGAATCATGTTCAGCTGTTGTGCTTGGTCCAAGTTCAGCTGTTTGCAAATGTTATAGGAGTTGGCTATCATGCAGCAGTGTGTGCCTTGCTCTCACTGGATGCTTCACTTTCTTTTTTGTAGGGTTTTTTTTTTTTTTT